AAAAAAAAAAAAAATAGAGGAAAATAATAAATTACGTATTGTGACCAGAGTGCCTGGGTGGACTACATATGTATACAGTATATGTAAAAATTCAGACCTGTATTCTTAACATATATATGACCAATTATAGCTTAATTTTTTTTAAGGAGAGAAAGGCTGGCGTGGTGGCTCACATCTGTAATCTCAGCACTTTGGGAGGCTGAGGCGAGCAGATTATCTGGGATTAGAAGTTCAAGACCAGGCTGAGCAAAATGGTGAAACCCTATTTCTACAAAAATACAAAAAATAGCTGGGTGTGGTGGTGCACGCCTATAATCCCAAGCTACTCAAGAAGCTGAGGCAGGAGGATCGATTGAACTGGGAGGCGGAGGTTGCAGTGAGCAGAGATCATGCCACTGTACTCCAGCCTGGGTGACAAAGCAAAATTCCATCTCAAAAAATAAATAAATATATTAAGAGAGAAGGAGAGAGACTAACGAGCCATGACAATCAATACAACATGATCCTTGGTTAGGTCCTGGATTGAGGAGGAAGAAACAATTACAAACACATTTTAGGAACAATTGGGAAACTGAAATATGGACTGCATATTACATGACTTTACGGAATTACTAATTTTCCTAGGGGTGACGAATGAGATTGTAGCTACAGAGGAGGTGCATACTGAAGTATTTAGGGGTGAAGTAGCAGGATGGCTACAATTCATTTGTAAATGATTCATCAAAAAAAAAATGTGTGGGCTTTCTTTTTTTAATAAAGACGGGGTTTCACCATGTTGGTCAGGCTGGTCTTGAACTCCCGACCTCAGATGATCTGCCCACCTTGGCCTCCAAAGTGCTTGGATTACAGGCGTGAGCCACCACGCATGGCCAACAAGAGAGTCTTAAAAAAAAAAATCATTGACCATTGGTCTCAATCTCAGTGGGGGAGTGCTGCCCCCTAGGGGAAAAATGGGATATTGGGGGTGGTTGGTTGACGTGATACCGACCCACCACAGGTAGACAGGACCAGATAGCAGTTTATGATACCAGGGACAGTCCCACACATTCATACACATCTGGCAAGCCTTCTGAACATCCCGCCAATCGTTCGAGTCAGTAGTAAACCTGTTTAAAATGATCGGAGCCCAGAAACTTGCGCTGTTGTTGTTGACTGTGGTGTGTTTTGTGGTTTTTTTTGGGGGGGACAGGATCTCGCCCAGGCTGGAGTGCAGGGGCACGATCTCTGCTCACTGCAACTGCCGCCTCCCAGGCTCAAGCGATCCTTCCACCTCTGTCTCCAAAATTGCTGGGCTTACAGGCATCCATCAGCACACCTGGCCCTTTGCCCTGTTTGACACCAATAATATTCTTTCCCATAATTGTTTTTCTTATTCTTTTTTTTTTGAGACGAGGTCTAACTCTCACCCAGGCTGGAGTTTCCCATAACTGTAATATCCACTGAATTTTCAAGGACTGCAGCCAGCACGCTAATTGTTTAGACCAAGAGTTGTTCGCCACTTGGGAAAATCCCCTCACTAACCGCAATCCTGCACGTGTGACATTTAAGTCACCAAGTCTGCGCAGCTGGGTCAGGCTGCATTTGTGGCCACTGCATTAACAAGGAGCCTATATATAGTCACAAACAACTGCCACCTTCCTCATATAACCTGTGGGGCATTTATATATTGAAATAAAAGTGATTTCATATGTTGTATTAATTTCCTTTTATTTCTCTTTTATACTACAGTTTGGCATAAAATATGGAGTTCTGGCTGGGCACAGTGACTCACGCCTGTAATCCCAACACTGTGGGAGGCCAAGGCAGGCAGATCACTTGAGGTCAGGAGTTCAAGACCAGCCTGGCCAACATGATGAAACCCCATCTCTACTAAAAATACAAAAATTAGCCAAGTCTGCTGGCAGGCGCCTGTAATCCCAGCTACTCGAGAGGCTGATGCAGGAGAATCGCTTGAACTCGGGAGGCAGAGGTTGCAGTGAGCTGAAATTATGCCACTGCACTCCAGCCTGGGTGACAGGGTGAGACTCTGTCTCAAAAAATAATAATATATAAAATATGAAGTTTGGGTGTGACCGTTAGTAGAGGTAGGTAATATTGTCTACAAATCTCACTGGGCCAGAGAGGGTTAAAACCATTCATTTAACCAGCTCCCCACTGTAATATTAGGAGATTCTGAAAAGCTTAGAGTCAACAGTCTCAGGACCCACACAGCCTCCAGGGCTGAAACCTTTTCATCCTTGAGATGTCGGTTGGGACTGTGGAAAAAGACATTAGACTGCAGATTTCTTTTTTTTGAGACAACATCTTGCTGTGTCACCCAGGCTGGAGTGCAGTGGTGTGATCATGGCTCACTGCAGCCTCCACTTTCCAGGCTCAAGCAATCCTACCCACTCAGCCTCCCAAATAGCTGAGACCACAGGTGCGTGCCACCACACCTGGCTAATTTTTTTTATTTTTGTAGAGATGGGCATCTGGCCATGTCACCTGGGCTGGTCTTGAACTCCTAGCCTCAAATGATCCTCCTGCCTTAGCCTCCCAAGGTGCTGGGTTTACAGGCATGAGCCACCATGCCTGGTCCATTAGGCTTTAGAATAAGTCAGACCTGGCGGAGATTGTGCCATTGCACTCCAGCCTGGGCAACAAGGGTGAAACTGTCTCAAAAAAAAAAAAATTGTACCTGTACCTTATTAATACATTAATACCATGCCAAAAGTCACCGTTGCTTTTCCTTGTTTTTTTTTACTTCTAGTGAGATATATATATAGATACATATATATAGATAGATAGATATACATATTTTTTTTTCTTTTACATTGAGGCAGGGTCTTGCTTTGTTGCCCAGGCTGGAGTGCAGTGGTGCAATCTTGGCTCACTGTAGCCTTGACCTCCTAGGCTCAAGTGATCCTCCCACCTCAGTCCTACCAAGTAGCTAGGACTACAGGCATGTGCCACCACATCCAGGTAATTTTTGTATTTTTTTGTAGAGACAGGGTTTTGCTATATTTCCCAGGCTTGTCTAGAACTCCTGAGCTCAAGTAATCCGCTTGCCTCAACGTCCCAAAGTGCTGGAATTACAAGCCTGAGCCACAGTGCCGAACCCCACCTTCATTTTCTTTTTGGGACAAGGTCTCACTCTGTCAGACTGCAGTGCAGTGGTGCAATCTCAGCCCACTGCAGCCTGCACCTTCCTGGGCTCAGGTGATCCTCCCACCTCGGCCTCCTAAGTAGCTGGGATTGTTACAGATGTGTGCCACCACGCCTGGCACCATGTTGGCCAGGCTGACCTCAAGGGATATGCCTGCCTCAGCCTCCCAAAGAACTGGGATTACAGGCATGAGTCACTGTGCCCAGCCAAATGCCAACCCCACCCCCCAGCTTTTTCCAGACCAGGTGATAATATAATTATTATCTTTTTTTTTATTTTGAGACCAAGTTTCACTCTTGTCCCACAAGGTGACGTGCAATGGCGCCATCTCGGCCCACTGCAACCTCCACCTCCCAGGTTCAAGCAATTCTCCTGCCTCAGCCTCCTGAGTATCTGGGATTACAGGCACGTGCCACCATGCCCGGTTATTTTGTAGTTTTAGTATGGTCGGGGTTTCACCATGTTGGTCAGGCTGGTCTCCAACTCCTGACCTCAAGTGATCCACCCGCCTTGGCCTCCCAAAGTGCTGAGATTACAGGCATGAGCCACCGCGTCTAGCCCAGTAGCATAATTGTTAATATCTGGTCCAACAATAGCAACACAGTAACAATAGCCACCATCAAATAAACGTATAGATGAACGCGGATGGCTTCCGGGTACAGTGAAGCCCCACCCCCTCCCGCCCGGGTCCGCGCGCCCGGCCCACCTCGATGGCAGGCAGCGTCTTGCTGGCCTCGGTGCTGCTCTCCCCGAGGATGCTGCCGGCCGAGCGGCCCTCGCACTCGTAGCGGAAGCGCATGCCGCGCTGCTTGGGCTGCTCGGTGATGACCAGGTGCGGCTGCGGGCCCGGGCCCGGCGCGGGGGGCACCAGCCGGCCCAGGGGGCAGCCCCAGGGCGGCGGCGTGGCTGGGGGCGCCACAGGCCCCAGGGTGACCGTGCTCAGCGAGGCCGCCCCGCGAGACACCAGACGCGGCAGCCCCTCGCCCGGGCCCGGCTGCGCCCGGTCCAGGCCAAAGCCATTCTCCTTAATGTACTCATCGATGATCTCTGCGGGAGAAGAAAAAACACGTGGTGACGCCGATTCTTTAAAATAAATAAATAAAAAAGTCTTGATTACCCCTAAGACATTTTCCATCCCATTCATTACACACACACACACACACACAGACACACACACAGAGAGTTCAGGGAGGCCAGGTGCAGTGGCTCACGCCTGTAATCCCAGCACTTTGGGAGGCCAAGGTGGGTGAATCACTTGAGGTCAGGAGTTCAAGACCAGCCTGGCCAACACAGTGAAACCCCGTCTCTACAAATATTAGCCTGCATGGTCCCACACATGCCTGTAGTCCCAGCTACTCCGGAGGCTGAGGCAGGAAGATCGCTTGAACCTGGGAGGTGGATGTGGCAGTGAGCCAAGATTGCACCACTGCACTCCAGCCTAGATGACAGAGCGAGACTCCATTTAAAATAAAGATAATAAATAAATGTTATGTTATGTTATTTTTATTTGAGATGGAGTCTCACTCTGTCACCAGGCTGGAGTACAGTGGCACAATCTCAGCTCACTACAACCTCCAATTCCCTGGTTCAAGTGATTCTCCTGTCTCAGCCTCCCAAGTAGCTGTGATTACAGGCACGTGCCACCACACTCAGCTAATTTTTGTGTTTTTTTTTTGTTTTTTTTTTAAAGACGGGGTTTCACCATGTTGGTCAGGCTGGTCTTGAACTCCCGACCTCAGGTGATCCACCCGCCTTGGCCTCCAAAGTGCTTGGATTACAGGCATGAGCCACCACGCCCGGCTTAATTTTTGTATTTTTAGGAGAGATGGGGTTTCACTATGTTGGTCAGGATGGTCTCGATCTCCTGACCTCGTGATCCACCTGCCTTGGCCAATATGATTATTATTGCTCTGTCGCCCAGGCTTGAGTGCAGTGGTTTGATCATAGCTCACAGCCCGGACCTCCCTAGGCTCAGGGGATCCTCCCACCTCAGTCTCTCGAGTAGCTGGGAGGCTACCTTGCCTGGCCTGTTTTCTGTTTCTGGCTCCTACCACATCTGGCCCTCTTGAGGGTCTTGAACTTGCTGCAGGCTGGGCAGTGTGGCTCATGCCTGTAGTCTCAGCACTTTGGGAGGCCAAGGCAGGAGGATCACTTGAGCCCAAGAGTTCGAGACCAGCCTGGGCAACATGGTGAGATGCCATCTCTACAAAATATTGAAAAAAAAAATGAGGCATCGTAATGCCTGTAGTTCCAACTACTAGAAAAGCTGATGCAGGAGGAATGCTTGAGCCCAGGAGTTCAAGGCTGCAGTGCGCCGTGATCATACCACTGCACTCCAGGCTGGGCAACAAAGCAAGATCCTACGTTAAAAAATAGGCGGGGTGTGGTGGCTCACGCTTGTAATCCCAGAACTGTGGGAGGCTGAGGCAGGTGGATCATCTGAGGTCAGGAGTTTGAGGCCTGCCTGGCCAACATGGTGAAACGCCTTCTCTACTAAAACATAGCTGGGAGTGGGGGCGCATGCCTGTGATCCCAGCTACTAGGGAGGCTGAGGCAGGAGAATCTCTTGAACCTGGGAGGTGGAGGTTGCAGTGAGCCAAGGTCGTGCCACTGCACTCCAGCCTGGGTGACAGAGCAAGACTCTGTCTCAAAAAATAAGTAACTTAAATGAATAAATAAATAAATAAATAAGAAAGAACTTGCTCCTCCAACTGCCTCTTCCCACAGTCCCCCATTCTACCCAGGCTGGCTCCTTCTCCTCCTGGTCCCAGCCGAAATGTTATCTCTTCAGAAAGGTCTTAGCTAACGAGTCTTCCCCAGGCCGCCTCTCCCTCGTCCTGTTTATTTCCTTCACTTCTCTTAGCCTGCTCTAGCATGATCTTGCCCATCTATTCATTCTCCTCCATCCGTCCGCCTGGCTATGAGCTCTGTGAGGGCGGGGCTTAGTTTGTTCCTGGCTGAACCCCCAGGGCCTAGAACAGTGTCTGTCTGTACTCACTAGGGGATGAATAACATTCTTTTATTTTAATTGGTTTTCTTTTTCTTTTTTTTTTAAAAAAGGACTAGCTCTAGTTTTCTTTTTTTTTTAACAGACTGGGTCTTGCTATGTTGCCCAGACTGGAGTGCAGAGGCTATTCACAGGCGCGATCCCTCTACTGATCAGCACAGGAGTTTTGACCTGCTCCGTTTCCGACCTGGGCTGGTTCACCCCTCCTTAGGCAACCTGGTGGTCCCCGCTCCCGGGAGGTCACCATATTGATGCTGAACTTAGTGCGGACACCTGATTAGCATAGCGCACTACAGCCTAGAACTCCCCGGCTCAAGTGATCCTCCAGCCTCAGCCTCCCAAGTGGCTGGGACTATAGGCACGAGCCACTGTGCCTGGCTTAATTGATTTTCTTTTTGAGACAAGGTCTTGCTCTGCTACACAGGCTGCAGTACAGTGGTACAATCATAGCTCACTGCGGCCTCAACCTCCCAGGCAACCTTCCAGGCTCAGGCGATCCTCCCACTTCAGCCTCCCGAGCAGCTGGGACTATAGGTGCACACCACGATGCTCAGCTAATTTTTAAAACTTTTGTGTGGTTAGGTGCGGTGGCTCACGCCTGTAATCCCACCACTTTGGGAGGCTGAGGGAGGCAGACCATGAGATCAGGCGATGGAGACCATCCTGGCCAACATGGTGAAACCCTGTCTCTACTAAAAATACAAAAATTAGCTGGGCATGGTGGCACGTGCCTATAATCCCAGCTACTTGGGAGGCGAGGCAGGAGAATCACTTGAACCCCAGAGGTGGAGGTTGCAGTGAGCCAAAATCACACCACTGCACTCCAGCCTGGAGACAGAATAAGACTCCATCTTAAAAAAAAAAAAAAAAAAAAGAAAAGAAAAGAAAAGAAAAAGGCCGGGTATGGTGGCTCATGCCCATAATCCCAGCAATTTAGGAGGCTGAGGTAGGCGGATCACCTGAGGTCAGGAGTTCAAAACCAGCCTGGCCAACATGGTGAAACCCCATCTCTACAAAAACACAAAAATTAGGTAGGCATGATGGTGGGTGTCCTTAATTCCAGCTACTTGGGAGGCTGAGGCAGGAGAATTGCTTGAACCTGGGAGACAGAGGTTATAGTGAGCTGAGATCAAGCCACTACACTCTAGCCTGGGCAACAGAGCAAGACTCCATCTCAAAAAAAGAATTTGTGTAGAGATGGGGTCTCCTTATGTTACCCAGGCTAGTCCTGAACTCCTGGGCTCAAGCAACCCTCCGGCCTCTGCCTCCCAAAGTGCCAGGATTACAAGCATAAGCTCCCACAGCTCCCTGGCCTGCTGAGTGTTTCCAAGTGTCACTCACTGCTAAGTACCTTAGGAACATGACTTTATTCAAATCCCTCCACAGACCTGGAAGTCACACAGTGACACCTCTCCCCCACCCCCACTGAACAAGGAAGGCCAAGACCCCCTTCTGCAGGCACTTGGGTCCCTCAGCCTCCCCGCAAACCTGCCCTGTGATACTCACCCAATTCATCTGTGGAAGAAAGAGAAAGAGAAAGAGAAAGGTGAGGTCCAGAAAGTGGTCACAACTTTTCATCTTTTAAGACAGATTCCCCAACCCTGTCCCTTCTGTGACCCTTCCGTCTTCCTCCATCCTGGGAAACCCTGGGCTCTCACTTGCTGGGGCACTAAACCTCAAACCTCGTCTTCCCTTTCTGGGTTACCCTCCCTTTAACCTCTAATGTTGGGGTCCCAGCACCAGGGTATCCTCAAACTAAGCTAAATGCCTCCCAAACAACGTGTAGACCAGGGATTATGAAGTCCTTTTGGGAACCCATGAGAAAGGGGTCTCTTCTCCAGGAAAAAGTGGATTCCCAAGATTCTAAACAAATTCTGGGTGTTTTCCCTCCCTTAAGTCCACCCCAGTCCCCTGAAGGTCATTGTCTGGTGTTTAAAGATAAAGAAGGTGGCCGGGCCCCATGCCTCACACCTGGGATTACCCAGCACTTTGGGAGGCTGAGGTGGGCAGATCGCTTGAGGTCAGGTGTTCAAGACCAGCCTGGCCAACAGGGTGAAACTCTGTCTCTACTAAAAATACAAAAATTAGATGGGCGTGGTGGTGGGTGCCTGTAATCCCAGCTACTTGGGAGGCTGAGGCAGGAGAATCGCTTGAACTCGGGAGGCGGAGGTTGCAGTGAGCCGAGATGGCACCACTGCACTGCAGCCTGGATGACGGGGCGAGACTGTCTCAAAAACAAACAACTTCTGAACATGGTATAACAACAACAACAGCAAAAGCAAAGAAGCCAACCTGAACCCAGGCAGCCTTTGCTCTGTACCCCAGCCCTATCCTCCCACAGTGCCCACCTGAAATCCCAGATTCACCCCTGCTTCCTGACGGAGGACGTACAGTGATGCCGGATCCTCAGGGAAGCCCCTTTTCACCTCCCCAGGAAAGCTCATCCCTTGACAGAATCATGGAGGAATCAAAACCAACCTCCCATCAGTCCACAGACAGGACAAGGGGAAGCCCAGAGGCCACCAGCGAGCCTCAGGATCACACAGCAAAGGAAGCGGCTGCAGCCCGGGGTCCCACCCAGGGCTGCGTGCGCTGGTCTCTGGCTGGGGATGTATTGACGTGGACCTGCTCCACTGCCAGATCTGTCCTTCTCCTCTGCTCTCAGGGAGTGGCTCCTGGCAGCCAGACCTTTGCCCCTTGAAAGGCAGTTCTCCTGTACTCCTTATCTCATGAGATCTCTGAAGCCAGTAAGGTGCCAAGGTCCCCCTACTTGGCAGATGGGGACACTGAGGCTGGCAGAGAGGAAGGGTCATTGGCAGGCCAACCTCAAGTCACTTCAACTGGGAAAATCCTTCTCAGGTATCTGTGCTAGATGAACCTGGGGACCCAAAGACAGAGTTAGCCTTGGACCCTCCAGAGGCTCCCGGGCAGTAGGGGGAGACTGAGTCCTGGCCAGATGTGGCTAGAACTCTGGAGTCACCACCTCTGTTCAAATCCTGACTCTGCAACTTGCTAGTTGTGTGGCCTTAAGCCTATTACTTCACCTGTTTGCTCCTTGGTTTCTTCATCTGTAAAATGGGCACAATAATCATGCCTAACTTGTTGGGCTAAAATAATTTTTTTTTTGAGTGAGAGTCTCACTCAGTCGCCCAGGCTGGAGTGCAGTGGCATGATCTCTGCTCACGGCAACACCCACCTCCCAGGTTCAAGGGATTCTCCTGCCTCAACCTCTTGAGTAGCTGGGATTACAGGCAAGTGCCACCACGCTCCGCTAATTTTTTGTATTTTTAGTAGAGACTGTCAGCCAGGATGGTCTCAATCTCCTGACCTCGTGATCTGCCTGCCTCGGCCTCCCAATGTGCTGGGATTACAGGCCCTATTAGCCAGGAAATTATTCATACCTCTACTCAAATAGCAACTCCCCACGACCCCCGACATGGACTTGCCACCGTTCAGGGGCAGCCAGGATGAGCCACGTAAGAGCAGATGTGAGTGCAGAAAATTGACTATGTATGTGCTGCCTCAGGGCCTTTGTGCAGGCTGGTCTCTGCCTGAATGCTCTTCCCCCAGTTGTTTGCATGGCATGACCTCCTCCTCCTTCTTCAGGTCCTTGGTCATGTCGTAACCTAGACAACTCTTCCCCGACCACTTTATTCAAGAGAGTCCCCTGATCCCCCACGCCACTTGTTACTCAAAATTAGGTCTCTTTATCATTTTCTTTTTCTTTTTTTTTTTTTTTTTTTGAGACGGAGTTTCGCTCTTGTAACCCAGGCTGCAGTGCAATGGTGTGATCACAGCTCACCACAACCTCCGCCTCCTGGGTTCAAGTGATTCTCCTGTCTCAGCCTCCCAAGTAGCTGGGATTACAGGCATGCACCACCATGCCTGGCTACTTTTGTATTTTTAGTAGAGACGTGGTTTCACCACGTTGGTCAGGCTGGTCTTGAACTCCCAATCTCAGGTGATCTGCCTGCCTTGGCCTCCCAAAGAGCTGGGATTACAGGCATGCACCACCATGCCTGGCTACTTTTGTATTTTTAGTAGAGACGTGGTTTCACCACGTTGGTCAGGCTGGTCTTGAACTCCCAATCTCAGGTGATCTGCCTGCCTTGGCCTCCCAAAGAGCTGGGATTACAGGTGTGAGCCACCGCACCCGGCCCCCATTCTGTCTCATTAGTTCTGGTATCTCCACCCTGCTGTTAAATATCACTGACCCCAAGATTTCTTCATAGCCCTTATCACATTTTATAATCCCGTATTTAATTTAATGTTTGTGTGTCTGCCTCCCATCTAGGTAGGGAACTCCAAGGCCAGGGCTGTCGTCAGCACTGCTCAGCACATGGCCAGGTACAGAACAGGCGTACAATAAATATTTATTGAATGGATGACATCAGAAATAACTCTCATTTGAAATCAAAGATCTAGGTCTTGAACCAGAAAAGTCTTGGCTTTGGCTGGGTGTGGTGGCTCATGCCTGTAATCCCAGCACTTTAGGAGGCCAAGGCAGGTGGATCGCTTCAGGCCGGGAGTTCCAGACCAGCCTGGCCACCATGGCAAACCCCCGTCTCTACTAAAAATACAAAAATGAGCTGGGTTTGGTGGCACATACCTGTAGTCCCAGCTACTTGGGAGGCTGAGGCAGGAGAATTGCTTGAACTCAGGAGGTGAAGGTTGCAGTGAGCTGAGATTGTGACACTGCACTCCAGCCTGGATGACAGAGCAAGACTCTGTCTCAAAAAAAAAAAAAGAAAACTCTCAGCCTTGTTCCTGCCCAGAACCACCGCTTGGGCAGTGGCTGTCCCTGATGCCATCCTCCCTACACTCGCAGACCTGTTGGGGAACTGGCCTCACCTCTTCCATGGCCAAGCCAGAATGGCGTCCATCCCAAATCCCAAGATGATACCGCCAGAGTAAGGCCCAGACCCAGCTAACTGCAGCCACTGAGTATTCACAATGACAGGACTATCCCTGCCCTCTAAATCCCAGCAAATGTATATAAGAAAAAAGTCATAATTTGGTCGAGATTCTGCATTTCCTTTTGAATGCAGTGAATTTTGGCCAGGGACTTTATAGACTAGTAATTCTCAGCATCACTTGGGAGCTTGCTAAAAATGAAAATAATTTCTCATCCCAAACCTACTGAATCAGAAACTCGAGAGGTGGAGCCTGATATTATTTTCATTATTATTTTTTTTTTGAGACAGAGTCTTGCTCTGGAGCCCAGGCTGGAGTGCAGTAGTGTGAACTCACCCAGGCTGGAGTGCGGTGGTGCAATCTTGGCTCACTGCAACCTCCACATCCTGGGTTCAAGCGATTTTCCTGCCTCAGCCTCTTGAGTAGCTGGGATTACAGGCACTCGCCACTATGCCTGGCTAATTTTTGTATTTTTAGTAGAAATGAGGCTTCACCATGTTGGCCAGGCTATAATTTTTGTAATTATAGTAGAGACTGGGTTTCACCATATTGGTCAGGCTGGTCTTGAACTCCTGATCTCAGGTGATCCACCCGCCTCAGCCTCCCAAAGTGCTGGGATTACAGGTGTGAGCCACCTCGCCCAGCGGCATTACTTTTGTTTGTTTGTTTTGAGACAGAGTTTCACTCTTGTTGCCCAGGCTGGAGGGCAGTGGTGTGATTTTGGCTCACCACAACCTCCACCTCTTGGGTTCAAGAGATTCTCCTACCTCAGCCTCCCTAGTAGCGGAGATTACAGGTGTGTGCCACCACACCTGGTTAATTTTATATTTTTAGTAAAGATGGGGTTTCTCCATGTTGGTCAGGCTGGTCTCAAACTCCTGACCTCAGGGGATCTGCCCATCTCAGCCTCCCAAAGTGCTGGGATTACAGGCATGAGCCACCACGCTCGGCCAACATTATGTTTTAACCAGCACTCTCTCGGTGAGTCTGATGCACACGGTTTAAGAACCACTGTCTGGCTAGGTACAGTGGCTCACGTCTGTAATCCCAGCACTTGGGGAGGCCAAGGCAGGCAGATTACCTGAGGTCAGGAGTTTCAAGACCATCCTGGCCAACATGGTGAAACCCCATCTCTACCAAAAATATAAAAAAGTAGTGGGGTGTGGTGGTTGGCACCTGTAATCCCATCTATTCAGGAGGTTGGGGCCAGAGAATAGCTTGAACCCAGGGAGGTGAAGATTGCAGTGAGCCGAAATCATACCACTGCATTCCAGCCTGGGCAATGGGACAAGACTCCATCTCAAAAAAACAAAAACAAAAACAAAAAAAAAACAGTCTGGGCATGGTGGCTCACACCTGTAATCCAAGCACTTTGGAGTCCAAGGCAGGTGGATCACCTGAGGTCGGGAGTTCAAGACCAGCCTGACCAACATGGTAAAACCCCGTCTTTAAAAAAAAAATTAAAATAAAAAACACCAAAAATGAACCACTGTCATAGACTGTTTAGTAATAATTATTATCATTATTATTATAATACCACTAACAGTTAACACTTATTGAGCCCTTACTGTGTGCCAGATACTGCTTGGAAAGTGTACCTGTATCAATTCATTCAATCCTCTCAATCCCCCTGAAAGAGAGGCACTGTTGTTCTGTCCATCTTACAGATGAAGAAAACTGAGGCCTGGACTGGGGAACTGACTTGCAGACACTCACACAGGGAGGGGCGGTGACAACAGCATGTAAACCCCAGCTCCAAAGCCCAGGATGGCAGTGATTACCTTCTAAGTCACAGAGAATCTCTAAAGAAGGCTTCTCGGTTGGATGCGTGGTTAGTTTTACCTGTCATGCTCTTAACAGTCCGATAGGTAGGAAAACCTAGGGCGCCCATCTCAACTGGCAGGGAGGGATGCAGCCTGTCAGGGGAAAGCTGAGGTGGACCTCGGTGAACCCCCTAACAGAGACTTCTCCACGGGGTCCTCCCAACCCCATCCTGCACGTGCGGGTGGGCAGGGATGGTGGAGGGCTGCTCACCTGTGGTCCTGGAAACGGAAAGCGAGAGCGAGGAGAGGTCGGGGGACCCTGCAGAGAAGGAGGAAAGTCTCAGGAGGTGATGGAGGGCAGCCAGGGGACCAGAGAATCTCCCAAGCAAGCCCCATCCTTTCCCCTATTAGCCCCTCCCCTCTGGATCAGGCCCCTCCCCCTGATTGCCCACTCGGTCTGGCCAGGCTTCCTGGCTAAATCATGGACAGGTCCTGGCCTTTAGTTTCTGTCGTTCATCTCACCCTCATCACACTCAGGGCCTGCTCCTTTTCTCCCTTAAAGTTGGACCTGGAGGGGACCCCTTCTTAAGCTCAGTTAAAAAAGCCCCCATCCCGCTAGGGGCAGTGGCTCACACCTATAATCCCAGCATTTTGGGAGGCTGAGGCGGGTGGATCACTTGAGGTCAGAAGTTCCAGGCCAGCCTGACCAACATGGTGAAACCCTGTCTCTACCAAAAATACAAAAATTAGCCGGGTGTGGTGTCAGGCGCCTGTAATTCTAGCTACATAAGAGGTTGAGGCAAGAGAATCACTTGAACCCGAGAGGCAGACGTTGCAGTTAGCTGAGATTGTGACACTGTACTCCAGCCTGGGCAACATAGCGAGACTCTGTCTCAAAACAAAAATCGAAAACATCCTCCTCAATAATAATAAAAAAAAAGTAAACAAAAAAAATAAAGCAAAAAACAGCCTCCTCTCAGGGTCACACCGCTTTTTATTTTTTCAATGTCAAGGCCCCGCTTCTCCGTTTGGAGGCAAGCCCCACCCTCTCCTTATTCTCTGTATCAGACCCCGCCTTGCTTTTTTGGGTAACAGGCCCTTCCCCTCCTCTCGGCCAGAGTCAGGCCCGCCCCTTCCCCTTCTTTCGGCCAACTCAGGCCCCGCCCCCTTCTGGACCTCACGGCCAGGCCCCGCCCCCATACACCTCCGCGTTGGGCTCTGCTTCCTTTTTTGAGGCAGGGCCGGCCCTCTTCTCGTAGTCCCGGTGGGATCCCGCCCCTCTTCTCCCTCTCGGGGCCGGGGCTTGCCCCCATGTCCCCCAAAAGCAGATTTCGCTCCGCCTTCTCTGAGTCAGGCCACGCCCCCTTCTTTGCCTCAGGGTCAGGCCCCGCCCCCTCTCACTCTACAGCGGGACGCCTTGCTCGAACCTCCGGCCGGACTCCCTCATCACCCTCTGCCTCCTTCCTACTCCCAAATACAGTGTCTCCGGAACCCTCTGCCCCCGCGAAACCCCTAGACTCCCATAGGAACCCCCACACTACTCCGGGACTGCCGGAATCCCCCCATCTCCAGCCCCGGCCCGGACCCCTCTTCTGAACCCCAGCGCCGCTTACCCAAGGCCCCCAGCTCCGACGCAGCGGGCGGTCTGGCGACGCGGCGACTCGGCATGGCCCGGCCACTGGAGACGGACGGCCCAGAGGCCCGGCCAGACCGAAGCATGCACGCGGGCAGGCCGGGCGGCCGGGAGGCACGGTCCGGTGGACGATCGCGGGTCGAGCGAGCGGCGCAAGGGCTGGGGCTGCAGGCCGGGCAGGACGCGCGGCGCCCCGGGCTGCGCGGGGCGCGGGGCCGGGCCGGGCGGGCGGCGGGCGGGGGCGGGGCGGCGGAATTCCCCGGCGCTGCCGGCCTGCGCGCTCATTGGTCCGTACCCCGCCGTGACGTCACGGCTGGGGAACGGGAAAACCCCCACGCGTCACGTGGTCGCGGGGGCGGGGCCGGCCGGGAAAGGGAGGCTGGGCGCTCAGGAGGGGTTGGGCAGGCGTCGCTGCCCATTGCTCTGGACGAGACAACTGAGGCCTACTTGGGACCATCACGCCCTACCCATTGAGCAAGCCGGGAAACTGATCCGCTCCCCGCCTTGGTCTTCCAGTGGGATTTGAACCTGCCGTTTTTCGGGCTGGAAGGGGAGCTTCAGGATCGGGAGGTTTGCCAATGCTCTACAGCTGCCATCCGTGATAATGACATCTCGGAAACCTCCAACGCCTCAGTTTCCTCAACCGCAAATTGAGGATAAAGATATTTAAGGAATAAAGCTTGCCTGTCAGCTTCAGAATTTCTGTTTTGTGCATTGCTGTATCCCCAACGCCTACACCAGCGCCTGGAACACCGTAGGTGCCCAATAAATGTTTATTGTAGGCCGGGCGCGGTGGCTCACACCTGTAACCTCAGCACTTTAGGAGGCCGAGACGGGCGGATCACGAGGTCAGGAGTTCGAGACCAGTGTGATCAACATGGTGAAACCCCATCTCTACTAAAAATACAAAAATTGGGCCGGGCGCGGTGGCTCAAGCCTGTAATCCCAGCACTTTGGGAGGCCGAGGCGGGTGGATCACGAGGTCAAGAGATCGAGACCATCCTGGTCAACATGGTGAAACCCCGTCTCTACTAAAAATACAAAAAATTAGCTGGGCATGGTGGCGCGTGCCTGTAATCCCAGCTACTCAGGAGGCTGAGGCAGGAGAATTGCCTGAACCCAGGAGGTGGAGGTTGCGGTGAGCCGAGATCGCGCCATTGCACTCTAGCCTGGGTAACAAGAGCGAAACTCCGTTTCAAAAAAAAAAAAAAAAAAATACAAAAATTAGCCAGGCATGGTGGCGCGTGCCTGTAATCCACCTCCTCAGCAGGCTGAGGCAGGAGAATCGCTTGAACCCAGGAGGCAGAAGTTGCAGTGAGCCAATATTTTGTGCCACTGCTCTCCAGCCTGGGCGACAGAGTGAGACTCTTTAAAAAAAGAAAAATGTTTATTGGATGAATGCATGGATGTTTTATTTATTGGTTTGTTCCTACGCGCAGCCCCTGAAAGTTACCCATAAATAGCCCAGAGCGCTTTGAGCTCAAAAGCTCAGTGATGCAGTCTGCGAATGGCAGCAGTGTAGCCTCCGTACACATCCTGAGCTTTGTGCCCAAGCCCTGAGCTCCCACCAGTGCCAGAAGCATATGATAGGATTATTGCAGAAGAGATTCAGGCTGAAAGAGGGGCAGCCATTTGGCTACATCACATTCCTAAGTCCCCCATATCCCTGAGAACGACTAGGTGATCTATTAGGTTCTAACTTGAATGCCAGGCACTCTCGGACCACAGAAGCAGGGTTTGGTGTCTTTCCTTTACATGTATAAAATTTGGGTGTTCTAGCGGGGCACGGTGGCTCACACCTGTAACCCCAATACTTTGGGAGGCCGAGGCAGGAGGATTGCTTGAGCCAGGGAAGTTGAGGCTGCAGTGAGCTGTGATCCTGCTATTGTGACTACAGAATGTTCACAATAATCCTGTGAAATGTATGTTGTTATTTATCCCCACAGAGCAGATGAGAAAACTGAGACCCAGGGAAATTAATTTGTCCAAGGTCACACAAACTAATATGACACAAATATTTAAAACATAAAATTCTTAGAACAGGACCTGGCACATGTGAGTGCTATATACAAATGTGAATTTTTTTTTTTCTTTGAGACAGGGTGTCACTGTGTCAACCAAGTTGGAGTGCAGCGGCAGGAACACGGCTCACCACAGCCTCAACCTGCTGGACTATAGAGATCTTCTCACCCAGCCTCCAGAGTAGCTGGGACTACAGGCACACAGTATCACATCTGGTTAATCTTTTCTTTT